AGCATGGATCTGGGATAGGTGCATTACTATGGTAGCTCTGGTTTAGGAGCCATTCCTGTAACACTGATGATTAAATATGGATTATCTGTTTGGAACATACCCTGAAAACCATTGGTGCTCCTACTCCCTTGTCATGTGTCTTGAACCAATACAACATTTCATGACAGGACTCTGCAAGACCCATTAGCATTAGTAGTTAGTTATTCAAGGCTATCATTATGATCAGAGCCCATGGTGAGGGTAGTGGCCATATTGGCCTTGGTGAATGTTCCTTGGCCCTGTCAAGCCCTCCTAAGGTGTTCTCCCATCTCCAAGTGTATTGTGATGACAAAACTTTCTCTCTACACATGACAACATCACCTTCATTACTGCTTATACACCAGTTAACCATACCAATGAGGAAGACACAGAACAACATGCATTAATAGTGTATAAATTCCTGGAGGATAAATCCAACAATGGCTAGGGCCAGGGAGGACAGGGATGATGTCCTTAGTCTCTTTCAGAAGTTGTAAATGGGTGACAGGAGATATTCTGCTCATTCCCTCTGGAGCATCTAGCATTGACAACTGTTGGAAGACAGGATACTGAGCTCGATGGAGCTTTGGTCTGACCCAGTATGGCCATTCTTATATTCTTATGTTCTTATGTTCATCAGCAGAGTATCCATTCATGACATTATTATTATGTAATCTAATGCCAATGTCAATGCCACAATGAGTGTTGATGTTCGAACAGCTTGGTTGGAAAGTATTGCATATTTTTATGGATGTAACCACAAACAATAATGGTGGTCAACTTCTCAAGCTTTGTATTGCAACCATACTCCATGTTTCTGATGTGGATTTGCAGTGGAAGAATGCACATGCATCGATCTGATATGAGAGTGCCGGGAGAGCACCAGAAAATGATAGCATATTACAAACCTGATGTAGATATTGATGCTGTCATGGAGATACAAAGTGCATCCTCTAAGCCAAAGTATGTCCATGCTGCTTACATGATCAAGCATGGCAGCAGTTCCATTTTGGAATGGCTGACCCATATTATCAATAAAGAGTTGACAAGAAACTAAAACAATACAGCCATCAAATCAAGGTCAAAGCAACAAGTTAGTCTACAGGCTGAATTGAAATTACCAAATTAATTAAAAGATCAGATTAATACAAAAAGCAAACAACCCTTATAAATGTTAAAAAGGGATCTAAGGATGTGCCAATCAAAAGCTTCCAATTTAAATTAAGTTCTTGAGTTTTGGCTAAGCCTTTACTTCCCCTCTTCCAGCAAAGATATTATAATGCAGGCCATAATAGAATGCTCTAATATGCAGAAGTTGCATAACTCTTAGGATTAACGAGGAGTAACAGTTAATTCGAACTAAGGGGTTTATCTCGGAATCCCGCTTCTCTGCCACATATAGATGCGGGTAGTTACTTCGGGCTAGTCAGTTTCCAAAATGGCGACTGGCCAGGATTATGCTAATCAAGCGCGGGATATTTAAATCCTGCACTTCATTAGCAACTTCGGTTGCCCTCATTAGCCTCCCTAGTTCAAAATAGGGGGCTAGTGTAGACGTACCCTTATTTAGCTGTTTAGACCTTCACACAAATCAAATGTGAGGTCTATTTTGGAGCCATGCAACTTAATTCAGTCCGGTTCAGATTAAGTAATCTTTAGCTAGCATTTACTAGGGAAAGGCCTAGTTACCCCAGAAACTTAAAAAAGAAAATCAGTGTTTACATACCACAGAGATTGTAAGTTTGTGCCCTCCTCCCCAAAATATCAAAAACTCAGAACTTATGATCAGTTTTAAGGAAGGTGACACAGCTTTACATAGGTAAAAAGGTCTTGAGATGACATTTTGTGATGATAAAAAATAACTGCTTGAAAAGATTTAGCTACAGCCAAACCCTCAATATGCATCTGTCAGGATAATTAAAAATAAATGTGAACATCTTATGATCAGACATCAACATTCTTTTTTACAAATAGGACAGTTTAGCATTTTTTTTAATTTAGGAAATAGGCCATAAGTCAAAAAGCTTATCTTTGAACATTTTCATCTTGACAGAGAAAAATTGCTTTAAAACATCCTAAAATGAGAACCCACTTAAGAAGCAAAAATAATGAAACCTTTATGAAAGTCAGTATTCCCAGTCTTCTCTCACAAGTAGGACCACTGAGGTTAACACCGGAGGATTGAAAATTAAGCCCATTGTGATTTGGAAGCCCTGTGGTTAAAATACTGTGCAGTATTAAAAATGTAGTAGTTATAGGTAAAAAATTGTTAACAAATTAATTATATCTGTTTTAGAAAATATATTACATTCTGCTTTCAGGTAGGTGTATGTACTTAAGAAAATTACACTTCATATTGCTTGAAGAGTAATGAAAGCTAATCACAGATAATAGTGCCTTGTTTCCAATTAAAAATACCAAGAAAACCTGTAGTTACTAGTAACCATAGTTACTAAATTATGGGATGTCAGAGAACTCTAAAATTAAATAACCAAATTTTGTTTATACTGAATTCATGTGCTTAATTATTTACTGTGATCTGCTACCAATGAACATAAAATGATCACATTATACTTATATATAGTGTAGTAATGTATTTGTAAAGCCATAAGAATATAAATCTAGTTTTTACAGTCCAGATTTTCTCAATATTATTTAGGTAATTATTATCCCTAGGTAATGTGGAATGGGGAGGGGAAGAGCACAGGAGTCCCAGGCTGAGGAGGGGGTGTAACGTGGGTCAGTAACATCCCCATCCCCTTAACTGGTGTGCCCTTCTCCTCCTGTACCAGTAAGAACTTTTATTTACTTGTACCACTGAATCTGATCAATTATGATAATTATAAAATTATATATTTGGATGCAACATACATTTGTCATATGTACGGAGCCCTTTTCAGACAATTCCGTGGAGTTAATTGACAAAACTGATCAAGTGCACTCACAAATTTTAGGGGCTTTAGTTAATTCAGAAAAATATAATTGACATAAAATTCAATATACCTAAGTATAAGAATAAGATAAACACAGTGATGTTGTTTCCGGTGCTGTTTATAATTTGTCTTACATTACATACAATCTTATGGAAACCGTTATAAACAAAGAGAGAAGAAAAAGTAAGTGGGGCACATCAAAAGACTGATCTCAGGGCAGGCAATTCACTGTTCTAGAACTGGACAGACCTGAGAAAGCAAGAAAATATCCAACTTATGTATTAGTACACATAGACAGAGGTCACACTAGTTCATCTTTTCCCACATGCATCAGCAATAACAGCCCATGTTACTACATATGGGTTCTTCTAGCTAACTATATTTATACTTCCAATCAATGTGGTATAACTGCCTGTTAAAAATTTCAAAAAGTCCCAATTTTTTTTATATCAAATATTAAAAGCCTGTGGGTGTACCAGTTTGTGTTCAGTTGCCTGCTGGCAAAAAAATAGTTAAATTGGGATAATCATCTTAGTCCTACTTTTGTTCAGTTATGCTAACCACAAGCAACTTCTTATAAGTCTCATGTTACTAACCTTATTATTAGTGTTTTCCTACTAATTGTTTCAGCTTCAGTAACTTCAGATATTATTCCTATAAGCATGCTTAGCAAATGAATTGTATTTGATCTAAAACTATAAACCCTCCAAGATCAAGTCAGGGGAAGGTAAAGGATAAGGGAGAAGCGGTGGATGTAAAGAATGGGGTTTGGTGGATGGGTTCAGACATGGGTTCAGACATGCCACTCCGGGCTGCTGGGTCTTCTGGGTCAGATTGTGAATGTGCTCTGGCCCGGAGATGACCTAAAGTCTGGGAGTTTGAAACCATCATAAGTGAAGCTAAAACTTACGGTACCTTTTGGGTACAATCTATTAAAAATGCAATTGTGTGTGGTGTTGCTGTATTGTATGTATATCTCTATTAAGAATGGAGATGATAATAAATTTCCTTAGTTATCAGTCTTTGAAACCCCCTGGGGAGACATTCGTATGCTAGTTCAAACTGGACTCTTCAGAGGCCAGAGGATAAACATATTTTTGATTAAAAATTCCAATTATAGTCTAATCGAGGCCCCTTTCTGATCTTGTAAAATGAACAGGAACAGGGGTGACACATGGAGTGGGGGTCACAAAGGGTCATGTGGCCCACCCAACACTATGGAGAGACAGCAGAGCAGGCTGGGACAGAATCACTCATCTTTCCCCCAACTCTGCTGGGGCATGAAGGGTAGCCCAACCCTGCAACCTACAGAAGGCACCCTGATAGTCTCTCAGCCCACATAGCTTGTGGGAAGAGATTAGGGGGTATAAGAGTGGGTGGTGGAGAGGGAGAGGAGTGGGGAAGGAGAAGAGCACAGTTGTGGGCTTGGCAGAAGGGGTGGAATGGGGATGGGATGAAAAGAGGCAGATCCTGGGGTGAACTAGGGAGGGGAAAAGTCAATGCCTTCTGCCAGGCTGGAATGGCATGGGGAGAAGTCACCACCAGAGATGGGAGAGGTCATGTGGCTGGTGCCCCCTTTGTGTCCCTTCCCAGCAGTCACCACTGATCAGCACCCATGGTCAATGGAGGGAAGGACTGAAAGGACATGGCCTACTGAGGGCCCATAACAAGACTGTGTGCTTATTCTGAGCTGAAGCTCTGAGGAACTTATAACCACAAGGAAACCTTAGTGTGAGATATTACAAGACTGCACTTTGTTCTTGTGAGTTTATATCCCTAACCTTCTGCCACAACTTTGAAAAATGATTTGTATGTTTACACATTTTGGAACAATTTTATTTTGATATTAGTAGATAATAAATAAGAGTAAGAAATATAGCATGTCCTATATAGCATATATCTTTTGACTGTGTTCCATAGCTGCAATAAGCCGCTAAGTTATGTTTGCATATAAAAGTAATAACAATTTAACTTTGGTTTACTATCTAAGCTTTTGTGTTGATTTCTTCTAATTATAGTAACATTTCTTGCTGTCTGAATCTGTTGCAGTGTGCCTGAATATTATGATTATGGTCATGGAACAAGTGAAGACGCTTATGACAGCTATGGTAAGGCCTATTCTATCTTTAGTAAAAGTGTGAAATCAAAAAACCAATCAGTCACTGACAACTCCAAAATTACTTCTACCTTCTTTTAGCTCTGCTTTTACAGAAGCCCAGACTAAATTGATCTGTGTAATTCTAGGGTGAGATTTGACTTATGGAACTAGGACCAGAAAATTGGACAGATCAATTTTGATCAAAATTTCAAAGGCAATTAATCACAGTCATAGATCATTTTTAACAGCAACAGTGAGCATGCTGATTAGCGCCTGAATATATTTCACAGTGTCAGTTGTCAGTCTTATTGATGCGTCAACAAACTCTTTCTCTCCTGTTGCCATATCCATTACCCCAAGCAATAAATATAACCTGGTCTAAAAGGTGTTTTTTATTATTCTTTGAATGATAGTGCCAATACCTGCAATTAAAATACAGAGTTCAAAAATACTTTTCTGCAAAATGGCATGTGATTTTAATGTTCTATGGGTCAGATCTTGCTCCAAATTTCTCAGTCACAGAATGCCTGCACATGCTGGACCTGGTTCTACTGCATCAGGAAAGAGGATATGGGGAGAAAGGACAGCTTTGCTCCAGAAGGGTTCCTTGTTCCCCATTGTACCTGATAAGTTGGTGGTAGTTCTGATTATGGCTGTTGATTAATCACAAAAAAAATTGCAATTTAAAAAAATTAATTGTGATTAATCTCACTGTTAAACAATAGAATACCAACTGAAATGTATTAAGTATTTTTGGATGTTTCTTTACATGATTTTTATTACAACACAGAATGCTAAGTGTACAGTGCTCACTTTATATTATAATTTGTATTACAAATATTTGCACTGTAAAATGTAAAACAAAAATGTATTTTTTCAGTTCACCTCATCGATATACTGTAGTGCAATCTTCTCATAAAAGCATAACTTACAAATGTAAATTTTTTTGTTAATAACTGCACTCAAAACCAGTATATCAGAGCATACTAATCCACTTAGTCCTACTTCTTATTCTGTCAGTAAGTAAGACAAACAAAATTGGTTACAATTTGCAGGAGATAATATTGGCCACTTCTTGGCTACAATGACCCCTGAAACTTAGACCAAGATTTCACATGGCACTTTTGTAGCTGGTATTGCAAGGTACTCGCATGCCAGACATACTTAAACATTTGTAGGACCCTTCATGCTTCAGCCAGCATTCCAGAGGACATGCTTCCGTTAATTAATTTATTAAATAAATGTTTAAATAAACAGTGTCCTATTATTGTTAAACAATGTAAGTAATTGTGATTAATTATTTTAATCAATTGACAGCCCTCCTTTTCATAGATCCAAAAATAAATATTTAGAGCAGAGAGATGGAGGAGGGGGACAGCTGCAGCCCTTCTCAGACTGCAGTAGTAGTACTGCTACATCTTTGATGTACCATGGTCACCTAGAAGAAGGGTTCATTCCACACTGTGCACTGCACTCTACTCTTCATGGCTCATTTACTTGAGCTGTGTTCCTGGTCCAGAATCAGACATTAAAATATAACTTTAGATGGTGCATTGAAATCCATTCCTTCTATTTCTGTTGTAGTAGGTTTTTTACACTTTTTTGGAAAATATGAGCCTGATGTCAGGGGGTTTATATCAGTATTGTTGCAATTAAGACAATAGAACTATAGTGATTCATACCAGGCAAGGGTGTGGCCCAACATACTCAATGTATAACGTTTGCTGTATTATTATTATTAATTAACTATCATAATGTGTACAGTATTTTCCAAAACACACAGCAAGACAAGAGCCATTGGGAATGATGCTGCTAATGAAAGCTCCAAGCACATTGAAATTCTATTCATGCAGCTGTGAAGCAAGTTTTAGGGCAATGCAAAGTTGCAGTTTCCTTTGTGTTTGTACTAAAATCATGGTTTCTTAAGGGACATTGTCAGAATAATTGCTTTGAATAATCTGAAATAAAATTATTTTTGCATATCATCAGTATTTGTGATACAAGTATTTTATACAATGTGCAGTCAAGCACTTTTTCAGTGCTAAACAAGTAATAATAATAATAGTGTATTCATATATATGTGTGTGCTTCAGTTAGCTTTGGATTTGTTTCTTTTGTGTATTTATTTGCTCTTACCATCTTGAGCAAGATGAATATAATCTCTTCCAAAAACACTGCTAAAGCCGTGGTGCCCTAACTGTGGGAAGGCGGGCATGGAGGTATGTCCAGGAGGGTGCAGCTAGGCTAGTCCCCGAGGGGGAACTGGGAGGAAGTTCCCTCCAACCTCACCGTGCCCCCAGCCCACCCCTGCCAGCTGTGACTCTACTCCCAGCTCCTCCATCCTCCCCAGTTTTGCCTCCAAATCTGCATTCAGCCCAAACTCTTCTGTTGGGCTAACTGTGCTTTAATGGAGAGGAACAATGGACAGATTCCATTACTAGTAAGGGGTGGGCACAACAAGAAGCATTTGGGTACCACTGAGCTAAAAGGTTGAGTAACTCAAAGAAGTGTCATGTGAGCCCAGGATGGAGAGGCAGCTACTTCTGAGTTCTTAACCAGCTCTTAACACTGACTCTCTGCAGACTTGGGCAAGTGACTTACAACACTCTATGGCCATTCCCTCATCTGTAAAATGAGGGTGATAGTACTTGCTTTCCTATCCAGGGCATCAAAATGGATAATTAGATAAGGTTTGATATGCTGGTATAAATTAATGGCTTAAACCACAAAATACTGAGTGTTTTCACCTCCCACGCATTACCCAGCTGGAGGTGCTCAGCATTTGAGGAATGGATCCTAGATTTGGGAGCATAAACCAAGGAGACGGTGTCTTTTTACCTTTATACAGGTGTTTATTTTTGATAATGAACTTCATGCAAGTGAATTAATTTATGAATAAATGTTGTTTCCATGTGTACCCCTTGCTTTCCATAACTGCATAATTTTACATTATCCCCTCTACTACTCTTGCCCCTCAGGAAGGTGTCTGGCAAAACTATGAAGTTAATGCCTTGTTCTGTTATAATCATAGTACTGTAAAATATATGGCTTAAAATGGAGAAGAATAACCAGAATAACTATACCAAAGACTGTCATGATGCACTGGGAAAAGTTCTGCAACCTGTGCTCCTCCTTTCTTTCCCTTTGTGATTCTTGTTATTTTGTCCTAGGTTAAAGGGTAGCTTTAAAAATAAAAGCACTGAAACATGCTATGGAGGTACATCCTGTGCCTTTGAACCTTACTGATTATGTCTGAACTGCATAAACACTGATTTATAGCCCAGAGTTCTCTCTCTCAAGGTGGACTCATTAGAAAATTTGGGCTGTGTTCTCTGGGGATAGTTTCGTTAGCTGTTTGACAGTCCTGGATAGGAATCTGAAAAGTCAGTGCCCAGGACATTATGGCTGTGTCTAGACTGCAGGGGGTTTTTTTTGAAAAAAGTAGCCTTGAATGATTTAGAAAAAATGAATGATTTAGAAAAAACAGATTCAAAATTTCTGTTGTGTCTCATAATATTAGATAGTTTCCTTGATTTCCTACAGATTTCCCTCAAATCCTTTCATTCCCGGCATCACTTTAGCTGTCGCCAATGCAAATATACCGTCCACATGAGATTTGTAATTTCTTGTAAGGTTATGATTTTTAAACTCTATGAAATGTAAGAGCATTTTCAATTCAGATATAATGTCTACTCCAGGATGATATTAAAGTTAGTGTCATTTTGTCAAAGTCCTGTTTTAATTAAGTTATAATTCTTTGGAAAGTTCTGTGTTTCAACCTGTCATATCCTTTGTATTTAATGTATATCACAAACCACTTGCACTTACATGTATTGTGCTAGTACAGCATAAATATATGTATCGCAAGAAAAGAGAATACTTTTAATTTATCTAAGGTCTTTCTATTTCTCCTATTATTCCTGAATTATACATTGCTTTTATATGACTGTGTAAAAATAAGTTAATCATGCCAACCATTCTTATCATATGTAGTATTTCACATCATGTAATTTAATGCTGGAATTGTACAATTTGAGAAACTAAGAAAAATGCCTCCATAATAGGGTGGTATATATAATGATAACACCTCTACATTATTTCAGGCATGAAAACAGTATCATTGAACATATCACATTGCATCAGCTCACATTAATAGAAAGCTCATTTCTTCTGGAAATAAGGTGTAGGGGAAACCACACCCAGACTGTTGCGACCATACTTATCTCAAAATAACACAGCTAATGTTGTAGCCTATCATTTCCTATAGGACAATTATGATTACTGACATTAAAATACGGTAACAACATGCTACAACATATTTTAGATTAGTTTACCAGATGTGTCATATTGTTAATGACAGATTTCCCGCTATTTATACAGGTCTGAAATCTTTACAAGTTCTAGATGACAGTCAAACTTAATTTTATGTTTTAATGAACCATTCTTATGTAACATCTGTAAAAAAAAAAAGTTTTAACACAACAAAGGAAGTTACTTATGAATAAAAACTGGAGTTTCAATGCATATAACATCACCCAAATCCAGCCTTTTCTCAGTATTTGCAGTGAATACTTTATTCACTTTTTTTATTCCTGTTTGCAACTGATCCACAGACAAAACCTTTGATGTTTAAAAAAATATTTCCTGTTCTGAGTTCTTTAACTACAATTGCCAAAATGGTAATGAATAATTTTTCCTACTGTGAAGTACACCACAAGCTGTGATAGGCATGTCTAGGAATCTTGGATCTTGAAAGATTTGTTGTGCAAGTGTCCATCATTGCAGAATTGGAGATAAGTCTGCAAGGTTTTATTCTGTTGTTCTGGCAAGGTCTGGGGCCATTTTGAGTTGGTGTTTCCTGGTCTGTGAGGCTCTTGATTCTGATGATAAAATGGAAGATTGGGGGGTTGTTGGAAGGAAAAGAAGAGGGGGTTCAGGAAAGATTTCTTTCAGGATGAGATGCCAATTGAGTATAGTGAAGTACAATCCCAGTAAATCAGTTAACTGGTT